TCATAATAATAATATTAAACACCCTGTCTGCTGACAGTCATCAACTCTTCTCTCTAGTATCCTTGACCAGATGTACCCTGTAGAAACTCATAAGCATGACTAAGCATTTAACAGTCTAACTAGACATCCTATCTCCACTAAACATTTCTAATACATAAAGTATCTATCCAATATCTATCTGACTAAAAATACCTAACACTGTCTTTTGTCTCCAGGTCAAAGTGACAGCCAACATTTAAAGCTCTGATGCCTCGGGCAGTTTCTCATCTTGTCAAGTGACCGGGAAAAGCATCCAAAGCATAAATCCAGTGAGGTGATGTCAGTGAACTAAACACAGTGTGCTCATGTTTACCACTCTGGCTGCTCTACAATTTAGACCGAGAGAGCAGCATCACCACAACACAACTGAAAACAGTGCACTCTGTTTTAGAAGCATGGTTCTTACCAGTGTGTGACCCAGAGTTATCCTGGATGTTACCCTATTTGTGACTGAATTATTTTACCTTTGATTCTTATATTTATAAAGTTGGTCCAACTGACAGCGGCATTTGATAAGTGCAAATAGAGATATAAACATATCAACTTATTCCACTGCTTGGATCACTTATGATAAAAAGCTTTTATAGTAATAAATCTTTTCTTAGGAGCCACTGGTTCCGACAAACTACATTTAATTGTTCTATCAGCAAACAATGCAATTATCAGTAGAGTTTCTCAGAAAGTAGGGACTATTTATCATCTCATTTTAAGTATTGAGGTACCTGTACCTGTAATCAAAACAGATGAGAGAGAGATTCATTTTATGCTACTATATACTTCTACTCCACTACATTTCAGAGGTAAATATGATACTTGTTGCTCCCCTATATTTATTTGCCATCGACAGTCATTTCAGTGTAATATCAGAGGCTACCTACCAACGTCATAGTGATTCTTATACATTCATGTATCAGTAATTATCAACATATACATTACTATTACTTTTACTTCTAACAGAGTATCTCTACACAGTGGCACTGCTTTTTTTTTACTTTAGTAAAAAAAAAAAAAACCAACATGTTTTTCCCAGGCACTCAATGATATGATTCTTTACTCCAGCAGGAAGGTGGAGGTGCAACTTGCGGTTGTGACCCTGCCTTACCTGTGGGCATCATTTGATCTCGCTCTTGCAGAGTGATCCAGGGTCTTTGAGGGAGCTGCTCTGGGTGCACTGGAACCAGGACAGGGCAGACAATAAGGTTTAGTGCTCATTCACCCGTGATAAACACAGTGACAAGATATACCCGCAGTGCTCAGGTGTACAATAAGCGGCAGGTTAAATATGCATGAGTTCTGACATCGAGTCGTGTGGTAAGGTGAAGCAGCTGAGCCACTTACCCGCTAGATTGTCGAGCATGTAGTTCAAAAGCTTTCTGGTTCCGTCCGGCTCCTGGTACAGGTTGAGGATATCTTGGGACAAAGGGTTTCCTGCAGAACAACCGTATGAAAAATAGACAATGCCTATTACGATACAAAACATATTTTTGTCTCTTTTCACCTGCTACTTTCAAGGTTTAGTTTTTTAGGAAAGTGTCTGGTTTCAGCCACAATCCACTTGCATTTACTGGAGAGTGGTAATTTACAAGTATCTGAATTTAATTCAGAATATCTGAGTGAGTTCTTCGTCCAAAATAATGGAAATAATAGAAAAGACTGACCTTTTAGCCCCAGGGTTTGTAACTGAAATAGCCTCCCAAGTTCATAAGGCAGAACTCGTAAAAGATTGTTGTTTAAAAGCAATTCCCTGCAAAAAAATGGGACAAAAATATCAGTATCTGTGTGTCTGAGCCTTTTCTTTCTCTATCAGTGTGGTAATTCTTTGTCCCTGTTGTATTTTTACTGGTGTCAAAACATCTTCTACCACAATGTCCTTTGTTGTCACTTCAGTTAGGTCCTACATTCCAAATGTGTCTGTGCTCGTCATCTTCACTGTTGTCAGTTTTGAGGTAAGATGCTTTTCTGAACCCCGCAGGATAACTGTTCCCACCCACACAGTTCATAATCTTCCTCTTTCTGCTGTGTGTTTGATTATTTACGCGCTAATCGTCAGGCTTTTGACCAGTTTTCTTTGATTCAATGGGATTGTTTGGTTCATCACCCTTTTAAAAAAACCCAAAGAATCATTTATTTTTCGAGAAAGAATACACACTGCTCAGTAAAGCTTTCTACACTAGCAAGACTCACCCCTTTGTGTGAGCTTCAAACAAGCGGACATCAGCCAGTATGATCACTGGAAGCCAGGAATGTTTGCTTCCACTTGCCTCAGACAGTAATCCTCCTTCCCTTCTCATTCATTAGGTTTATTATTACATTCTGCTATACACACATTACACCTGGGATCCCGGTCATTTATGAATTTGTGCATCAAAATCAAAATGTAAACAGATGTTTTTGAGATGTCACGTCCCTGAAGTCCCTAAAAGTTTGTCTTGCTTGTTCAGCAAGCGCCTACCTGAGAGAGACCATGTTGCCCAGCTCGGCGGGCAGGCTACGGAGCTTATTGGACGACAGGTTCAGGTAGACCAGGTTGGGCAGCTTGGCGATGTCCGGCGGGATGCGGGTCAGGTTGTTGTCGTTGATGTGCAGCGCCGTCAGGTGGGTAAGTGTCCATAACGAGCTGCTCAGACTCCTCACCCGCCCTGCTCAAACCAAACAGGTACAATGGGCTATCTTTAAGTTACTGCTCTCAGACCTCATGAGGAAAACACAGATTTCATGTCTCAGCTTTGCGACTCGTTGAACCAGCAAACAAAACAGACTGGGAATCTTCACGACTTAGAGTGAAAACTGATTTGTTTTCCTTCAAATTATTCATTTTTAGACATTCACCAAGTCAGAACAACAACTGAATTCAGTTTTTCAGCAGAATATTGTTGTTTTAGTGTCAGAAATCACAAAAAAACTCACTTAGACCATCACTAAAAGCCTCAACAGGAACCAGACTGAGGCAATTCAGGAGACTGACTGAACAACTGTGGACCCATTACTGCACTTCAGTACAGAATTTATCAAAGAAAATCAAAACAGATGAGAGAGAGACAGGGAAAAAAAGAATTTCTGCGTTGTTCTTCTGTGGCTGTGGTTAGAAAGAAAACTCCATTACATTTCTGAGGTCTGTGCAGATAAAAGGTGACCTTCCCTGTGGTTTTCCCCTGTAACTCTGGACAAACGTTTGATATCAGGAAACTACAACAGAAACCTGATGAACACTTGATTAATGTTTAATCACCCTGAGGAAGTTTGTTGACGATGACTATGTTTACCAGGTGATTCTGGCTGAGGCTGTCAGTTCACATCTGAGGTTTTGGAGCCATGTGGTAACGGTCCTTTAACCAACAGTGTCCCTCAGTAGGGGCCACAACCCACTGAACGGTCATCTGCGCTATTGATTCATCAGCTAAATAATTTCAAGATTAATTGATTGTTTAGTCTATAACATGTCAGAAGGTAGATTAAAAAAAACACTGGATTTTCTGTCAATGGCCTGATGCATTCAGCTAGTTTCTGCAACACCAAAAACAACTCGGCTACAGCTCAGCTTCAGTTTGTACGAAGAGGATTAGGGCCACTGTACAAAATCTGAATTCTGACATTAATCTAAGAATTATGACTCTGAGAAAAAAAGTCAGAACTCAAATAGATTTTGTACAGTAATCCGTAGGTTTGCACACGCAAACAGTAAAATAAATAAAAACATAAATGACAAGGAAAATTAAAGATTAAAACAAAAAAGGCAAGAAGCTTCTCACTAAGATTCTCTCCCTGTTTAAAACCAAGACTTTGCTGCCTTTTCCTCATTCACATACTGTATTTGCGGAGGTGATTTTCAGTCAGGGCTCTGCTGGTTTTCATTTCTATGTCTTTAGGCACAATTTAACAGCTGAACTTCGAGGTCTTAGTCAGGATGTTTTTATGGAAGCAGACCCAGAGGGAGCCGGACTGACCAGATATCTCGAGCTCAGCCCAGTGAGACTTCTTCCCGCTGGCCGCCTCCTCAGCTGACATGATGGTGTAACATCTGCGGGGATCTGGAGGGTCATATTTTTCCTTTGGCATACCTGTTAATCTGAAAAACCAGAAGAACACAGATGGTAGTTTAAATTCAGGAGCCAAGAAACACTGGCTAGCTCGCACCGAGGTGGCTGCTATCCTTCTAATGCCAGCAACTGTACAGACAAATAATAATACTAACAATAATAATAAAAATATAAAGCAATTTTAAAATGCCATTAATTGCTTTAGAATTCCTAAAGTTAAAGGAAAAAGGTGCTAAAAACTGAAAATTGGTACACAGAATTATAAAGTTGAAAGAAAAAAAAAGTCAATTATTCAGATATAAATAAAATATTTATTAGTGATAAAATCATTTCAGAATTTCAGAAAGAAAAAATATATTTTCTGGTTCTGTATTAATGTATTTGGTGTTAACATAGTAAACATAGCAGCCATATTGTGGCAGTTGGTGAACTAAGGCTATGACCGGTGATTATTTTTATTATTGATTAATTTACCAATTATTTTCTTGATTATTCTACTGATAAAATTGTAGTAAAACAAAACTCCAAGACATTTAATTCACAATAATATAAAACAGGGAGAAGCAGCAAACCCTGACACTGAAGAAGCTGAAACATGAGGTTGATTAGTTTTTACCTTGTGAGTTAGTTTATTAAAAATAAATGTTCTATCACTCAACTGACTGAACAGTCGCCTGATGTTCTGCACCTTGCAGTGAGCAAACAAACATCCTCCACCTGCCACTCTGTGTGTGAGCGGGTGGAGGACCCCCCCCTGAATCTGAATAACTAATAATTTAAAAAAATCTGAATAACTAAATAAATTATGTGTGCTTGGCTGGTAGAGTCAGAAACCTCAGTGGCCTCAGACAGTGTTTACTGGCATACGGCTGCTGGATTTCCTCACTGTGAGAACGACACAAAGCCAAACCCTGAAACCACATAGGAAGCAGCTGGAGGACAGGTCCTCACGGCAGTAAAATTATATAAAGACTTGAGACACTGGTGATCTAGACCCTCTGATTATCAATAGCACGATTCAGAGAATTAGTTTTAGTCTTCCAGACTAAATCCAGGAGGAGAAATTATTTAGTGAGAAGCTCAGGAAAATCAGCATATCATCTACTGCTGTGAAGCAGAAGCAGTGAAATCACAACGTCTCCACTTTTAATTTTTGAACAAACAGCTGGATTTAGAGCACAATAAAGATCGCCAACACAACAGCAGCTCACTTCCAAGGCTCACGTGAGAGTGGCAAAAGTCGCAGCATTCGACCGGACCCCCTAACACAGATTCATGCATATAAAAACTCCAAAGTTTCTTTTAACTAAGACCCACAGTCCAAAACCAAGCCAAAATGAATGCAGTAGTAATGTGCACAAACTTAGACAACAATACATCTTATGTCATAAAAAAATCACACCTGTTCTAGTAGCAGCCTGACAGTCTCCTCCATTAGAAGCGGCAGGGGGTCCTTCCAGAAACCACCCGGCAGCAGGAGCAGGCAGGTTATTGAAACTCCATTAACAGGGATCCACAAAACATGCACGGCTCAGGGGGAGTGTAATAAACATGTTACTGCATAGCTTTATCACGACACTGACTTCTGAACACCATGCATGAGCAGAACAAGTGTGCAAAGGAAGAACGAAGCGGGCCCATGACATTACCCATCCATCTACCATGATGCTGGTACTGATGGGATGTGACTATCTAGGTGTATTTACTGAAGTACATTTTCAGAGGGAGATGTTACTCCACCACATTTATGTGACGTCTAGTTACCTGATACTTTGCAGGTTTAAACATTTTATATGTTTAGAAGATACATTTAAGTTTAGACCAGTGATTTTGAACTTTTTGATTTGTCTCCAAAATCAGTGTGTAGGTGTCTATAACTACATACAGTATGTGTGTATATATATAGTACTTAAAACTAGCTGTTCCATGAACAGCTTACAGCAGTTACATGCCACTTACACACTGATGCATTACTGTTAATAATGGAATTTATTACATTAAATGAATACTTGTGCTTCTCACAGTAAGTAGAATTTTAAATGCAGGACTCCTATTTGTAATGGACTATTTTTGTTGTGCTGGTACTTTTACTTAAGTACTTCACCGGCGGAAAGTAGCTGGAGGTGAACAAGTTTGAGAAGTCTTACATAACCTGTTTACACTTTGCAGGGTCACAAGTAAGCGGCAACCGCGGCTGCAGGCTGATACACGGCTGCAGGCTGATACACGGCCTGCTGGCGTCGGCTCGCAGCCAAACGGAGACGTGCACGGCGCTGAAGTTGCAGCGGAGACCCTCATCACATGCACGAGCAGATAAACATTTAACAGTCAGGACAGTCTCTTATAGCCTAGTTATTATGTTAAGCCATGGAAACTGTAATTATGTAAGTGAAATGATAATTTCAAGCCTTTTTAATAAATGGAAAGAACTGTAGCGATAGCAACTGCTCCAACAGCTGAGGGGCGAGTGTCCAAACATAGCTATAATGTCAAAAGTGACAAGCCCGTCATGAAGAAGGATGGGCCCGTTCATGAGAAGTTCGCACCACCGCTCAGCAGCTGTCTCACCTGACAACGAGGTAAACACGGTCTCTGGCTATGTCCGTTAGTGGATGTTCTAATATTGGCTATAGTAAAAATAGCGTCAGTACATGGTACCAACTGATTACTCGTACAGCGCGCCCGAAGCACGGCGCTGGATTTGTTTAGCTGCGGCTGCAGGGTGCACGCCGCCCGGGCTCACCGAGGCGCTCTGCGGAGGGAGACGTCTTGGTACAAACTCGAGCGGATTTAAGTGTGCAGTTTAACCCGGGACAGTCTGGGAAGGGTGTCTGCACTATCAGAACAAAATCTAGAGTGACATTACCTTCATTCGTGGGCAGTAGAGTCCGATTTATTGGAGGAACTGGTAGAGACATGCAGACACTGCTGCTAAACCCGTGTAGACCTGGTAGTGCCTGAACGTCTCAGAAACACGGGGAAGAACAACAAACGTGATTTCCGTTCGTGCCCGTGCCCACATCACGCATACCCTTCTTCTTCAGTTATTTAAAAGGGACTGACAAGCAACTGTTGGTGTATTATTAATGCACGCACAGCCGGATTTTATGTATTTATTTACCCTTGCTCATGACGGTCATTAACATTAAACTTTAAACGTTGTTAGAGCCCTCCGGCTTTTTGTTCCCAGTCTGAAGGACTCCTGTGATTTAGTCCAGAATTTTCCCTGTTTGTATTACTAAACTTAGTCTAAATTTAATTTTGATCTTATATATATATAGCAGAAACAAATGTTTCTTGAGTTTATTTTTGTTTCTGTCTTCTGGAAATGGCTAAAAGTAAGTGAGGACTGGTATATCAAACATAGGCCGAATTTGAAATTGGGCCATAATGCTCCATCTGGATATTTTGTATTTTTATGCAAGTTTTGTTCGATTCCCGATTGGCAAGATAACTATTAATTTATACATTTTTAAATTGAGATTTCCTGTTACGTCTCTGGCGGAACTGTTTGCAAATATCGCTGTTTTCACACGGACTGACAGCGTTATCAGACATGGCAACCTGTACGCGGAATGTGTGGAAAGGTCGGTTATTTTGTCTGTATTTCTTAAAGGTGGCAATTAAAATTTGTAATCTATTTACTAAGATTAGTATATACTAATTATTTTATGTTTCATGTTTTATGTATGTCAAAAGGGCTAAAGCTGCCACAGCCTGTTAGCTTGCCTGCTGTTTTGTTAGCTAAGGCTAGCTATCGGTTAACTGGAAAAACGGCAAATATGTGTAATTTTAGTGTCTCCTTGCGTATTCAGTATTTCGTCACATTCAACAGCATTGCGTAAAATTTGAGTTACTGCGGTCTTTCTGTAATTCAGTTAACAAAGCAGATTTTAATTAAATGAGTCGTTTTTGTGTATTCATCGGTCTTTGATGAGCATCCTCGAACCAAAACATCGCAGTGACGAGAAGTGCTCATGAGTTTAAAAAGCTGACGTGTTGTTTGGTGGATCATATATATTCCGAATTGAAGAGTTAATATAAATACTTAAATCTCGATATTCAACAGTTACTTTATTGCTTAGTTTGTTTTTTTAAGATTAGTCGTATTCAGCAGACAGATTCCAGAAATTAGTTTTTGTGCAAAAATGAAGCATGACAGACAAGTAGGCTGGTGAAAGAGTCCTTTATAAACCATTAAAATAATTTTTAAATCACTAAAGAAATTGACAGACAAACATTGTAGACTCTAAAAGAGATGCAATGTTTTCTCTCCTCCTGGACCAACTGTGCTGATTTATAACCTATGATCAGAGAGAAAAGCATAGCAGTAGACCAGATTGCTGGGTATAAATGCGTGCATTAGTCTTTCTGTGACACTCTGAGGGAGAAAAGCGTGCATTTTAGTGATATTTTTGAGATGACAAAATGCTGATTTGGTGACAGACCCCACATAAGCCTTAACATTCAGTTCTGAGGCAAAGATGACAAAAAGGTTTCTGGCCTTTTGGCTCGGAGTCAGCCCTGCAGAGTTCATTGAGTGGCTTTTTTGCTCTCAGAGCCTTTGAAACTATAAATAAACATTTATGCATCACATATGTGGCCATCATTTCTCTTCTGTTTTCCTATAGATGTGTGATTTACTTTATTTGCTTTGCACCCTGCAGTGAAGCTGTAACAGAAATGAGTCAGCTCTTCACAGCACACACCCCTGCAGGCATCTTGAGATTTATTACTTACAATTAAAAGAGAAAATTTAGATTCTCCCGCAGTCTTGAGATTGGGGAAAAAGTATTTGTGAGTTAACTTAAAAGCAGAACTGGGGGCAAACTCACACTGGTTTTAAATTTGCAAGAGTGCATTTTGTCTTGCAGAATGATTGACTCACTGATACCTTGATAATGTAATTTTTGCATAAGCATGTTTTCCTCCACAGGCAAATATTAGCATAATATTCAGATTTTATGCAAATTACATAAACACTGGATGCAGCCTGCCTCAGATTGATAACCTTGGTGTATGCTGTTCTCTTTGTATAGCAGATAAACAGATGCTCTAAATTTTAACATTTTGCATTATTTATTTTTCAACATAATTTCACCCATATTCAATACACCACTGCTCCTTTATCCTGCTTGCCACCAATGTGCATGGCATCCAGTGATGGAATTAACAGGTGCTTCTTGTTGCATTTGGCTCCTGCTAAATTAAGTACATTTTATAAAATCACAGAAAACACCTCAAACGCTGGCGTACGGTTTGATGTTCTCTATCAGCAGGAGCAGAAAGCAGCATCTGTCTGTGTTAAATCAAGGTCATTTTCTGTTCCCTGTGTTTGTTTTTATTTCTTAAGCTGCTTTCCCCCGCTTTTCCAGTTTTAGCGAGGTGTCAGAGGCAGCTGCTGAGCGCTGGGGGTCCCTCCTACACTGGTGTCTCACAGAGTGCACCGAGGAGTTTACCTGTCAGGACTTTTGCAGCCGTCAAGTAAGTTTACAAACCCTTGGTATCATAAATTCATCTTCATCCCGGAAAGATTTTCAGCATCGATGTGCTTCACTTTAGGTTTTTCAGCGTGCTGAGCTGCTCGGTAGAGTCAATTTCATGTTTACTGAGCAGATAAAACACAATAAAAAAAAATGTCACCATGAAAACCATGAAGTGAAGACCAGTCTCAGCTAGGTATCATATGTTTCAGTTAAACCTTTCCCTTCGTTTTTCTGCGCTGTCAGGACACTAAGCAAAGGCAGAAAAGAGAGCTCGCAGAAGGAGGAAAAGAAAGTGAAGAGGATCATTGATGACAAAGACAGACTTAAGCCTTTTGGCAAGACGGCGTGGGCGCCTGTTGATGACGTGTATATAGTGAGGCACTACCCCCAGGCGATTTACGATGCAGCGGACGCCATCGACATGCTGAAGAGATTTCAGGCATTGGACTTCACCTCCCACAATCAGCCCGTTTACATTGACCTGAAGCTCGACATGAAACTGGAGAAAAAGGTAACAGCATCGACACAGTGGTTGTTCTCTTTTTATTCCACATCTCTGAGGTGATGTTTCCAGTCAGTTGAAGCCACGACTGGACTCAGGTGACGTCCTCGCTAGCTATTTATTCCTTCAGTTGTTTGTGACTCACCACAGTGGCTTTGGAGTACCGATGCACTATTTTTGGTCTTTTCCAAATTGCCATCCAGCATGTTGAGGTGATACTTCGTTCTTTCATTTATTAAAATGTTACCCACTTTTTTTTAGTACCATTCAGCCCCTGGGGGGGCTGGTGACAGCTGCTGTGAATACTATCCTCCATAGAAATCAATGGCGAGGACTATTTTTCCCCATCTCTGAATCTCAGTCTGAATGCAGCCTTATTCTCAGTGTCTCTGCAGAGCCAGTGTTCCTCTGCATAAAGAATAAAGTACACTCCAGAGAGATGAACACATTCTGTGATGGTTTAATAGATTTAGTATTTAATCAGTCTGTGATTGACATCTCTCCTTATGTTTTCTCACACTTATTTTATCTGCTGCGGGATGCTGTGTGCTTAACTGTAATAAGTGATTTTTGTTATTATTCCACTCAGAAAAAAGTCGACCCCTTTGTCAGCATCATACAGTTGCCTCACCGCTTCAAGATAGAGACGAACAAAGTTTTGGTTTTCACTGAGGTAAAAACCTTCATTTCCTCGCTGAATCTTAATGTCACAACCGACTGATTGTCTCTTGTTGATGAATTGTTTTAATATTGCCTGAGCATGATTCAGATGTGCTGCAGCAGCAGCACTGTTTGTCACCATGCTTGTAATGAATGGGCTTTGGTTGCAGTTGTTTTTATCACAGAAGCCTGAGTCCTACACTGCAACCAGGATTTGTTTAATATTCCTGTCGAGTAGCACGAGTTGTATCTTAGATGTGCATGTTAACAACCATAATGAATGACACTGGTGTGCTCCGCCAGACATCGACACACCCAAATCAGGTTTAATAGGCTAATGTTGCCTCTCCTTTTCTCTGCAGGATGCTAATCAAGCAAAGGTTGCCCAGGAGAATGGAGCTGCCTTCACTGGAGGCGCAGAGCTCATAGAGCAGGTGAGTAGGTTAAACAGCAGTACATCCCCTTCTGTAAGTTCACATCAAGCTTAGTTTGTCTTTCTAGGCAAACTGTCATGTTTAATTGTAATAGCATGATTTTAGTGTATTAGCTTGGTACAAAATGTTTTCCAACTCAACTAGATAGATAGAAGTTCAAGCAAAATGAGGTGTTTGTTTCATGTTTGTTTCAGTGAATTTATATATCTGACTTTGCAAACTGTTGACATAATGTGATGTATATTGATGCTGGGGAAAAGATAAATAATGTGAGATTGTTTCCATTTGTTAAACATTTGTAAAAGGCACAAGGTCTGTGGAGAGTTAGATAATTCTGTCAGACCGTTGTGGCTCAGTGAGTCGTGTTAAGTAATGTTGTAGAGATTCAGGGGAGTGAGGATTCACTGATACTGGTACAACTGGTGCCAGCCTCCAGCGGCCTGAACAAAATTTTTTACGTCTGTTACACTAAATAACGAAAACAGCTATTTTAGACATACACATCAGCCTTATCATGTAAATCTGTTAGCACATGTTTGCTCCATGCGCCAGTCAGACTCTTTCTCTGTATCTAAATCCCACTTCCTGCAGGAGTCTCTAAAGCTGAATCTGATGTGATTTTATTTATTTCCAGATCTTAGATGATAAGATTTCAGCAGACTTCTATGTGACTGTTCCAGAAATGCTTCCAAAGCTTATACCACTGAAAAACAAGCTGAGGAAGAAGTTTCCAAAGAGCAAGAGAGGTAAGCTGAGTGTCCCAACAGATGTCACCCCGATGTGTCTTGCATAAGTGAAGCTTAACTTTTAGGGTGATTTGAACCCAAGTGAAGAGGGATTTGGCCTTAAAGCCAAGAGATGAGCTGGTTTTATATCACTGTAATAACAAGGACAGGTTCTCGACTGTAGTGCTGCTGTGGCTGCATGTTTCACTCGTATCATTGATCAGTTGCTTTCTGTCTCCACTGCCACCCAGGCTCAGTCAGCATCAATATACCCAGCTTGTTGGAGAGGTTTAAAACGGGCCACGAATACCTGGTGGAGAACGACTGCTATGTTAGGACCCAGATAGCCACGGTATGTCTCAACAAACAATACATGAAGTGTGACTGGCTAAGAGGGATACCTGAGTAAAGTGGTCTGTGTTCAGAATCGTTACAGCTCTAGTAGTGTCATTTATGGTTAATACTGCTTGCTGTTCTCTGCACAGCTCGACATGCCCAAAGAACACATCTTTGCCAACCTGCAAGCTGTCCTGACTGATGTGTGCTCCTACAAACCAGCCGACGCAGGTATGTTCACCAAAACCAACAACAATCAGCACAACCAACGAATTCAGTGACTCAGAATCACCTCAAATTTACTCTTTTTCTGACAGCAGCTACTGATGAGCTCTCACCTCGTTGGATTATAATGGCACGCTGGTGATTGATTTCAATTTGGGAAGATGATTGTGAGAGAGCAAAATGATTTGCAGTCATGCCAGCGGTTGTCTGCTTGCCAGTTCTGTTTACAGCTCAGTAGCCAGACTCAGTTTAGTGGACTGCACTGGAAATAGAAGTTGTTTCCATCCACATTTAGCAGGAAAGACGGGATAGCAGGTGATTGACCTGCACAATGACATTATCATGCTGCACCCCTACAGGTGCAAATGTGACATTAAAACCACAGGGACCTTCAAACTCGATCTTTAATGAGGATGGATGCATTTTACTGCTTTAAAAAATCTAAAACTCTAGTGTTTGAAGTTGGCAGAAATGTAAAACACACAGGACTAAACTGGAAGCACTGGACTGGCCCTTTGTAAACCCTGAATGAGAATGAAGGTGTTTTTACTACTTTAAAAAAATCTAAAACTCTAGTGTTTGAAGTTGGCAGAAATGTAAAACACACAGGACTAAACTGGAAGCACTGGACTGGCCCTTTGTAAACCCTGAATGAGAAGGACCCACTGGTGCTGCTAGGACCCGAACAGAGCAGCAGATTTAGACGAGCTCCTTCATCTCTGTTCATTTTCTCCACTCTTCGGTCGATAACAAACAAGGTCATCACAACATCAGCTCATGGATCCTCATTACAGCAGGAGGCTGAAATGACCTAAAAAAAAAATTGATTCTGAGCTTGCTAAATAAAATGCCATTAACAGAGCCTCTGCTGAAGTGAAGTGCACAGCTTTGACAAACATTGCTCGAGGAGGCTTTAGCGGCAGTGGCCCTTTGTGACCGGGACCTGCTCATATTAATAACTCTTTACTTTCCCATTCATCTTGAATCGTGAACACCGTGTTACCGTTCAAGCACATCTTTGAGCAGAAAAGTAATAGTGTCCTTGGTTCTTGGGCCACCTGTTGTTGTTAGAGCCGCTCTGAGCTGTTGAAGGCCGTTCATGTGTTTGGGTCTGCACTGGAGCTCCCACTAGCCCCGATATCTGTTTCCACATCTACTTACTGTTGTTCTAATTGCGGTTTGCCACAGTTTCAGAAAATGAAATCAGCGTCTGCTTTGATTCATGTGAAAATGTGGAGACCAGCGTACAGGCGGGTGGCATGGTGGTGCAGTGGCTAGCACTGTCATCTCACAGCAAGAAGCTTACGGGTTCAAACCTGGCGGCTGACCGGGCCTTTCTGTGCTGAGTCTCCAGGTACTCCAGCTTCCTCCCACAGCCTGAAGACAGGCATGTTATGTTGACTGGGGACTCTCAGCTCCCCATAGGTATGAGTGTGTGTGTGTGGGGGGGTTGTCTCTGTGTCAGCCCTGTGAGAGATCGACCACCTGTCCAGGTGAACCCTCCTCTCTCTCCTCATGTCAGCTGGGATTGACTCCAGCCCAAAAAAAAGATGGTTTCCCCTTTATATGTGAGGTTTTGCACGATTAACAACATCAACAAATAGTGGACAGATCAGACTCCAGCACTGTAAATCAGACATCACAACACCAACAGAAAAACATATGTGCATTTATATTGTTTAAAGCAGCCTGTTTGTGTGCTCAAAGCTGCTCATAATTACAATCTAAAACAAAAACTATAACTGAGACTAGAAACCACTGCCACAACCTTTTGAGTTTATTATGTTAATAAAAGAAATCAGCCTCCTAAAACAAAACATTCAGGTCAAGGTTCGGTAATTATGGATGTGTGCACCACATTGTTGAGTTCAGTTAAGTGGGAAAAGAGTGAAAATGTTGAAGAAATGCACTGGTTCCCAGTGTGAAGATGGTCTTTTCTGGATCCACACCAAAAACAAACCACTTGTTTCTTGGCTCGTGGCCACATCTCCACGAACTGTTACTCGAGTTCTCGAGGTGTCAGGCTAATTACCAGACAACAAGTCCAGTGAGAGCACAAAGGAAACTTCCTCTGCGAAGGTCATTAAACCTGTTCACTCTGCTTCAGACTCAAGAAAACCAGCACTGACAGCAGCTTGTGTTAAACCAGCAGTAAACCAGAGCGTGTGCAGTTTGAGTCTGATGATGATTCCTCTGGGACCCCTCAGTGCTCAGCCCGCCCGTCCTCTGAGTGAACTGTCACACTCAGCGCCTCGCTCCGACTCTGTCATCTCCATCAGCAAGCGGCTTTTGGCGATGAAGGCGCCATGCTGAGCCGAGCCACCTGGGCCTCTCTGAACTCTGTCAGCACAGAGCGCTCTTTGAGTCTGTGCCAGCTCAACATTACGCAGCACTTTAAGTCAACATGAGGCGCCTGAGGGCTCTGGACAGAATTCAGTTATTGCTGCACCCAGCAGTTGAGGATCAGATGTGGAAATGTGAAATACTTCTGGAATTAGCCGTGTGAAGAGCGGCATCTTTTCTCTGTTTCCACTAATGTCTCTTAAAGAGTCATTTGGACAGAAGCTAATGGCTGCAGCGTGGGCAGAACCGAGAGGGAACTGCAACCCTCAGATGCTTAAACTGAGGCAGGAGAGTGGAAATGCAGTGTGTGGATGAGGGCAAGTAAAACCCCAAAGGGCTTCTGGGAATTATTCATGACAGCAGTTAATAACACGCAGCCATATGTTGATAAAGACCTGAATGCAGGAAACATGAGACAGTAGGCAAAATGACGCTGAGACAGCTATTCAGAAATAAGTTCAAAGTAAATTTGTGGGAGAAAGATGAGACTGCAGAGAATTCAGATAGCGGAGATGGAGCATGTGTGGGCGAAAGCTGCTGTTGAAGCTCTGTGTTTTTGATTTCTTTATTTAATTTTAGCTTTGTTGTCCAGGGAGCATCCGGCTGTTTTATGTTCTAAATAGCTTTTGTTGTCATTTCAGTCTGGTGCGTGTGTTTTCATGTCGTGCCTGTCTCCAGTTTTTAACATCACACCCCCCTTTTTCATCACTTTAGACAAGTGTGTCTGACACGGCTTTCCCTCTTCCTCCCCTCAGGACCTTTCATCGAGCGGGCGATCATTGCCAGTCATACCAGTGAAGCTGTGTGGTTCAAGAGTGAAGACGTACTAAAACCAGCAGAAACGACAGAGGAGTGACCTGTTTCAATTTGTATATACTGAATAAAGTTGCTTTTAGTTTGGCTCCTGAGTACAACCTGATCCTTTCAAAACAACCAAACCAGGCAGGACAGTAAAAGAACAAACCATGAGTTTCTACTGTTGTTTTGTAGGTCGTCTGCAGCCGCACAAGGTTGAAATCCAGCAGCTGTGGTAGCACACTGTGATGTTTGTGTTTATTAAACAGTTTGACCTTGTGACCTTTAAGGATCCTTTAGTTTTGAGGGGTGCTCTCCTGCCAGTGTGCACTGTGTGACTCATCCTTGTATGCCGTCGCCCTGGTGCAGTTCCACAGCTAAACACCAGGAGGCGGTGTCTAAACATCCTGTGCTGCTGACTGATGTGGAAACCAACTGAGGTCTTCCTGCAGTGTTGCAGCTAAAAATACCTGAAATATTGTCACCAAAGGAGAAGTTGGATAATTTGTTTAATTCATAAAGGTGTATGGGACCACGGACGCTTAGAAATGACATCTTGTACAAGTAAATGTGTTTGATATAATATGTAAGAGATGTACTTGACCAAGATGGCTCAGCTGCCATGAAGAGATCTTAAAGGACTCTTTATTTGAGGAAGAGAAGGCCTGAAAAGTTGAATTTTTTTGGGTTGAGTTTTGTGTTGATGCAGCAGAAAGTCTGAAGGGATTTCACCCTGATTTCATCACAAGTTGAACCGGAGCCTGGCAGATGTCTTAGCTCCAGAAAATGCAAAGTTTACATCAGTAAAAAAAAAAAAAATCGGTTTAGGCCTTTGGTTTAAGCTCCTCCAGCTGTTTTTCTGATGGAAATGGTATCTCCTTTAATCTGAGTTTATGATTAGAAGCCTGAAGTTGAACCTTTAAGAGAAGCCTTTTAAAAAACTTAGCTTGATATTCTTGCAGCCATCTCGCCGCCCTGTTAAGACAGAAGAAAGCACTGTGTCTGCGCTCACTGCGGCTCCACACACCCTGACACGACCGTATGAGCTCAGATGTCTGCTCAGACTGTGTGTGTTGAATTAGCACTTTAGCACCAATTACGCATTCATCCTCTGGTGCGGCAGGTTGGTATTCAGTGAGAGACTGAGATAAGTGTTGGTCCCTGTGGGGAAATCGGGCGTTTGCAGCAGCTAAAGTAATAGGATTTGGCAGTTGGGAGGAGAGAACAGAGGCTGTAGACAGAGGCAATGAAAATGATGAAACTGACTTCAGTGAGCTTTCACAAGCAGAAGCTGTAGAGACATTTGTGTGACTGTTTTGACTCTTGCTGGCCTGGATTGTTCACATATGTTTGTAGTCTGTTTATAATACCCTGAACTGTTGTGATTTTCTGTACATAGAGTAATAGTAATGATCTTTGTTTCTAACGTGAAACCCATAGTACAGAGTGTGTTACATAGGGTATCATGGACCTGGCTTTGTGCACGAGGACTATAGACTCAAACCTGACCAAAGTTCACTCCTGTGCAAAGGATTCAGGCACTTCAGATGTTTAGATTCTCATCCACCACACAACAAAAATCAGACGGGCGTCTGATTGGTCCCATATTCATTCTGCAGCCTCACACTGAGCCCGGAGCTCCAGTCGGAGCCATAAAGAACCATGTTTGTATATCAGGGGATCCCGGAGTCCTGCAGTAGATGGTCTGGCCCCCGCTGAGGCCTGATCTCAGCATCACAGAGTCAGTCTGGGATCACACGAATAGAAAGACACCGAGACAGCCTGGATCCACAGAAGAACTGTGGCAGCTGCTTCAAGATGGTGGAACCAGTGACCTGCCAAGTACCTGGAAACGTGCAGGAGGCCTGAGGGAGAGTCAAAGAAAGGGAAGAGAATAACTTAGTTATAAATTAATTTTCCACAATTACATCCAGTTGTCAACAGACTCCACACGAAGCATCAAAATGTAGCCATTGAAGTGTTTCTACTGGCAACAACAGTTATTAATGATTTTTGATCATGTTGGAGGTTCTCTGATCTCACATCAGAGCTCAGGGTTGAACCACAGTTTTTAATCCTCCACAGCTTCTCTGGTGCCTGGTTATGAATAGCTGCAGTGTGCAGACAGCAGAAAGAAGGCTGGTTCAAAGGCAAAACCGACTGTGATGCCTGTTTTTGGCACAGGGGCTGAGTGTGGGTCAGGTTACCGCCATGTGACCCTGAGGAATCTCAAACCTGAACTCCCTGTGATTAAACATTACAGACCGAAAACACTGCAGACACCCAAAAGGACTCAGAAGGTTTTCATACAGGCAGCAGCCGAACTACACACACTTCAGCTACTATAGATAAAAATAAGCTCAATTTCTTTATCAATTCAAAGTGATATTAATACACAACAAGGCCACTGGAAAACTTCACAAATTCCAATTAGGATTGTTATAGTGACGCCACTGGAGACTTTATGTGAACAGACCTAGCAGGCACAGGTTCAGGGGCTCGAGGGGTCAATTACAAAAAGCCAGAAAATGAGTAATATAGATATAACAACTATAAGCAAGACCTAAAATGATTAAAAAGAGAGAAAGGGGACAGCAAAAGGACTACAGAAACATGCTGAATGACAGAAAGAGACACAAAACAAGATGAAACAATTAAAATATAAACACAAACCAAGTAAAAATATGTGCAAAAGAACCACAGAGACACGCAAAATGAGTAAAAAACAAAAATGGCTAAAATGACAAAACTGCTACAAAGGGACACAGAAGTAATTAAAGGAGACAAAATGACTAAAAAAAAGACCCTAAAGAGCAAAATTTGTACAAAATTATACCACATGAAAAAGAGAGCCACAAAACAAGTAAAAAACACAAAATGCTAAAATCACACAACAAAACAAACTGACTACAAATCTTATGGCTGCGTGAACTTGAGGGTAGTGGCCTTGTGTTGGTGTCCAGGGACAGGATTGTTCTGGGAAAACCAGAACTAAGCTCAGACCAGGTCACTTCGGAAACCGTCTGGCATTTTAAAGTGGTGCCTTTAATACATTCTAACACATTTAAAGTGCTTCACTGTGCATTATGCTCACCTTAAGCTCAGGAGGCATTTAGATATTTATGTAGGGACGGGGTGAGAACACATCCCAGAGGAATAAATGCCTGAGATACAGAACAGTTGCTATAAACTGCTTAGGGCTGCAACAAACTAGCAATGATATAAGAGGAGATAAAACAACATAAAACACGTTAAGGTCATTATAACCACACTATAAAACTTTAAAAGCCAGCACTGAGCCCCACAGACACACCACAGGCCCCGTAGTGTTTCTAAAATTGTGTTTAACTATGATAAAGTGAGTGCGAACTCCACCGCGCACTACTGAGACACTGTGGGAGAAACAGTCATTTATTATTTCTGTAAACCTCTGATCTCCAGCTGTAAATGGGATTAAAATGATCGAGCACTCTGATAATCTACTCTGCCTACCAAATTCCCCTCCGGAAAATTAATTCTCTCCCCTATATTTAATCCCCAAGGAGCGGAGTCGCCATCATGTGAGATTATGATACGTGCCAGGTGGGTGGCGGAGGTGGAGGAGGGCAGCAGAGGACAGGTGGGACGTCCTCCTGGAGAGTACGGGAGAACGAACCAGAGAAAGGAGGAGAAGAAGAAGAGGTGGGGGTGGAGGGAGAGGGGGGGGGCTCTGGGAAGACCAGAGGAGCGCTGCACCGAAAGAAGTCGCTTCAAACACCGCGCAACGCTCGCTGAAGGAGCGCGGAAAGTCCGACCGCCTCTCCCTCGCTCGTCGTCATGTGTCTCGGCGTCTAAAAGCCTCCGCTGGGGAGAGGACAAACCAGCTCGCGTCTGGTGCTTTTCTGGCAGAGTTTTGCAGCCGAGCGGCAGAGCAGTGAACCAGAGGAGAGAGAGAGGAGGTGGGTACTTGTCCAGGTTTCGACTGCGCCGTATTCCAACACGAAGCGCAGCGCTCGGGAGTCGGACCCAGTGCGCGCTGCTTTTCAAGATTCCCGGATCTTTCCTGGTTGTTTTCTGGAGCATCTCTACTGTACAATGAGAACTGCTTTCATCTGAACTAGAGAGATCAACGCAAACACATCGCGCGTTTTCCTTCTGACTGGATCTGGATTTAATGCCCCTTTTAGCAGCGACCATGGGCGGATGGTGGACATTAGTTGGCGCTCTGGCCGTGATCCTCACCGGCCCCCGTGGGATACAAGGTTGGTATTTTTGGTCTCTTTTCACCCTGCCAGTTGTTCAGGTTGTTATATAGGTCAGGGTTGTTAGGGACCACCGTGCACACTCATAGACTCCAGGTTTGATCAGACTTGGTCCAAATGGGCTTATATAAGTCGGTGCAGCCTGCACAAAGAAATCTTGTAGGGGGTGAAAGTTGTGGTCAGAACGGAACTTTAGTTGTTGTAACTGTTTCCGCTGATCAAGGCAACAATGTAATTTATTTCTCAAGTTTCTGAGGACATCCTGGAATTCCTCTAAGGAGCCCTGCAGGGTCCAGGACCCAGCTCTGGGCCTCCCTGAGCAGGTTCTTGTTTCCCAGGGTGAGAGCAGAGATTTAACAGACGTTTGTGTGATTCCAACTTCAGGATTTGCAGAGTTTCCCAGAGGAGAAAAGCAATGAATTTAAAGTAGGTCTCATGTCATGCAAACATTTGATAGGATTTCTGAATAAGCGCCCTCCTCCTGGGATGCATTTCTCAGACAAGTGTTCAACACCATGCGGAGATACAGATGCATATGATGCTGAGAAAGCAGCATCCATACTCAGTCACATTTGTCCTCTAACTGTGCTTCATCCCAGAAAGCACTGACTCCTGTGTGGCAGGTGAAAAGATGCGTGTTTAATCTGGGCTCATTTTGGCAGAAAGGTTTTGAAGTTGTTTAAACAGCATTCAGTGACTGTTTCAACATACAGTTAGGACCTGCATTAAAATGCTGCTGAAACAGTTGGATGTGTCCTGAACCTTATTTAGCCCAGTTTGAACAAGAAGTCTTGATCTGCAAATCACCAGATCAGTTCTTAGTGAGACGGAAGTGTTTCAAGGTTGAAGGAAACCGGGTCTGAAGGAGATCCAATCTGGGATAAACCGAGGAACCTGCCTCAGTGATGGTCTGTATGAACCAGGTGAGTGAGGCCATAACAAATCTGCAGATGCTCACAGCCACAGTCAACAAGCTGTGAAGGAATTTGAATAGAAGAGCAACATGTGATGTAAACTTGTTGTCTGAGTTGTGTATTTTGGCTTTTTGAAACCGACCCTGGTTGTGCCCTCTGCACTGTTTAAATATTCATAACTCTGCATCAGATCATAAAGCTCTGCCCGTGCACCTCCACTGTTCCCATCACAGGAGCTACAAGGCACAGGACAGGAGCAGAATCTAAAGCAGGTCTGCACAGTTGTTACTGAACTGACCCACTCAAGGGTTCACTTCATTCCTCATATAAAACCTGTTCATATTGCAGCCCGGTGCCCGCAGGAAAGGCTGCACTGCTGAAATCTGGCATGTGAAAGTTTCTCTGTTCACATGCAGCAGCAGAGCCTGAGTGAAGCCTGTTTTTAAAATCAAAATCACGAGCATCCTCTCTTCATCTTGGCCAGCGTCCACTCTGCCTGACAGCACTTGCTTCAATAAAATCAAAGCTTTTACAAAGCGAGATGCTCCTTCGCCACCTTCCGCTGCAAAGAGCCTGTTGGCGAGCACAATAAAAGCTGTAACGTTACTGATATGATGTGTTGCTTGGTGGATGGATGGATGCTGAGAACAGGAGAGGACGTTTCTGGACAAAAGAAAATCAGATTCCTTCACAGTTCTTTGACTGTGGCAGATTATAGTCCCACTCACCCAGGAGATTGTTTCTGTCGATCAAGACAAGCTGAATTTTGTCTTCATGAAGCAGGCGACTGAACTTCTTCAAGCACAGGTCACCTTTATACTTTAAACTTTGAAGTTTGACATCACTTTTATCCCATGAAGCATCGACCTCCTGATTGGCAGGTGAAAAGATGTGAAGACTTCCTGTTAAAAATGGGTCAAATAAGGTTTTTAATAGATCCAGGTTCATCTGTTTCTGACAAAATGCAGTCCTGTAGGTCCAAAGTCCATCTGAGTTAACCAAGGTGTTGTAAATATCTGGGATACATGAAACCATTACAGCAAAATGACTGTGTTTCAGCCTGTCTGTTCAAATGTCATCACTGAAAAACTGATTTCAACCCTATTTAACCCGGTTTTAACACAGAAGTTAGTTGTCTTTCATCAGAAAATCACCAGATGAAGTGTTTCTGGGATGCAAACACAGCAAGAGGATACATCTGACTAGTTTTCAGCATTTAAATCTTCACTTCACAATGAATAGTTAAAGAGAAAATCTTCTCAGCTGGAGGGTGCTTATTCACCACCTTAATCAGATGTATTCAGGCTGAGAAAGGCACCATTTAATGGTGAGTCTACTAAAGTGGTTCAAGTTCGGCGTTTGCCCAGTGTGGAAGGAAGGCTTCTGCTCTTTCTCTGTGGAGGCCACAAGTTTCCATGGTTGCATATAATTTCATGTGGCTCATTATCTTTAGAGATGACAATTTTAAAATTCTGTGATCACAGCTTCATTATTACTTAAAATTAAAAATGATATATTTAAAGCTTGGACACAAGAAGGTAGTTTTTGATCTCTTGAGATTTTGTTAATTAAAGGGTCATCCAGTAAAAATGAGTCTGAATGATCAACAGTTCTTATGTCAGGGTTTTAAAATCCTCCATGAAATTTCACCATGTACCAAGTCTCCATTCAAAAGTAGCACATTTTGTACTTTTTAATCACAGTATATAAAACTTAACCCTCTATATTTTGTCCAATAAGTAAGTCACTTTTAATCTCAGTACCATCAAAACTTAAGCATCCCTATATTGTGTGCCAGACATCCTTACCTGCAAACTTAGATGAAGAAAATCTGAATATTCACTTTGATAAAATGTCACACTCACTTAAAGCCACCAGTATTAGAAGTGTAATGCCTCCGAGTCAAACACAGCGCTCACAGTTGTTTAAAACCTGAACAGGGTTCTTGAGCAGCTAAACTGCAGTATAAACCACTTGTGTATATCTGCCTCAAACTGATTAAACTGCCAGATTATATTTGCAGTACATTCTTTCTCCCATTCAGGGAGATGAAGAGACAAGAGACTGAAGCAGCAGCATAAAGAGACTCACTCTTGAGCGTCATGAGAAACAGCTGGAACTGTACTTGTTCTCCCATCTGGACCATTATGCGAAATTCTAGATAACATTAATAAGTGAAAAGTCTCAGTTAGCATGGAAACTAGCTTATTGTAGCTGGATTCTATGAGAATATGCCTGCTTGGATATGTCTTTGTGATTTGATGCTAAAGCTGGGTAACCCTAACAAGCAGCAAGGCCAGCACATCAGCCAAGTAGTGTTCGCTAGTTTTAGCATCGGGAGGCAGTGTTGTGTGTGTAGCTACAGTGATATTTGGGTTTAGTCTTTGTAACTCCCTACAGTAAAATAAAGTCATCTTGGTATATTAAGATAAAATAGCCTACATTTTGGCAGCATTTGCCTGGGTGATTTGTGTTGTATTAGCAAAATTCTAGATAGCATTGCTAACTGAGTAACTATTAACCTGTTAGCTGCCTTGTAGGCCTTTTTACTTTGACAAAACACTTGTTTTCATTGTTTGATAGTAAAGTAGGGTTACACATGGGATGAAGTAGTGAAAGGGGTTCGCTATAATTTCTCAGAGCCCAAGATTGTGTAATAAAGTTGCTTGCCAGTCAAACTAGGAGAACCAGCTGTTAGCCAAAGTTAGCGTAGTCTGAATAGTTACCATATGAATGTAGGAGCTTGCTTAGAGGCTCAGAGGTTGGTTAATGTGGGGACTGGCTGTGTCTTTTCTTGTCGAATGGTGCAGCAGGTTGATGATGACACAGCCTGATATCTGCTTCATTGGATCTACTGCCAAATTGAGACCATTGTGGCCATGGCAGCAAACTCAAGACAAGCCAAGTGGGAGACGTCCTGGCTCACACCCAAACTTTCGTACATATAAGTATATAGATATTTCAAGCTGCAAAGAAAAAAACAATAAACACTGCTGCTTGTACTTAGTAGCACTCCTGCATGTCCTGGATCTGTAAGCCAGATGAACTCATGCATATGTTATATTATTTAATTCACTTAAGAACAGACGTTACCAAATGTGATCCCAAAGTCCTAAGTACTTTTGTCTTTATGATCGCATTCAGACTGAACCTGAAAGTTGGGGAATTATGCCCAATTTGTGACTGAAAATGCAGCAGTTCAGCTGAATAAAGAGAGACAATGAGGATTGTTCAACCTCTGCCTGTCAAAGACAGAAGTTACATTTGAACTGTGTATCGGCTGTGGTCATATCACTGTCAGTGAAATCTGAGTCCCTGTATAGTGTTTGTTTTAGCTTGTTTCCAGATTATTCTCCCACTGGACACTGTTCATTTATCTGTCATTTTTCTCTGTGCTGCTGAAACGCATCGACGACTGTCAGAGTTTGACAATACACAGCACTGACGCTCATGACTCACAGCAACTTGTATCCTAAGTTTGAAGGCAGTCAATTTGTCATCCTTCATGAGGCTATTCTGCTGTTTGACCTGAGTTTCTGCACAAATCATAATGACATAGTTTACATAAGGTGTGATGGTGGCGGGACTGATGCTGTGTTTGTTTCTCTGTGCCATCCCAGGAGCTTGTGTCTACGAGGGATCGCTGTATGCGGTAGGTGCACTCACCTGTTCTTGTCCTTTACTCTCTAGTGACACTGGTTAAAATCACCTCCCTGTCCACCCAGAGAATTAGTCCTTTTGTAAAGCCTGACCAGGATTTACTCATGTATTATTCACAGAGGACGTTACCAGGTTAGCATGTCTGATGGTCAGAGCAGATAAGTGTGTATGTGCAGAGGTAGGTGGTAAAATGTCTATGTATTATCAGTATGGATTGCTGCACAGGGAAGATGTCTCATCTATAATGCATGCCGGATGCAGCCTCTGTGGCTGATAATGACGCTGGGAGAGTGATGCGGCTCGACGGCGGGCTTGGCCGACTCCTGCTGCTCTGCCGATTGAAGGTTAGGCTCTTTGCAAAGTTGGAAAGAAGTTTGTGATGAGCTGTGTTCCCGTGGCTCTGCTGGGATTGGCTCTGCGGTGTTTCATGTTCTGTAAGCACTGCTGCCAGAGCCTCGCGTCCTGGCTTGAGACTTGTTTTAATGTTTAAAGTTGTTGTGTTTGGCTTGAGGCATCGACAGACGAGTCGTCGCCTCGTTCCTCTGCCAGGCGGCCGAGGCTTCCTCACTAACATCCTGTCTGTGATTTTTAGAAAACAAAACCTGCTTAAATGAATTGAATTCAAAGTGTTTTCACTTTCCTTACGCTCTACATGGGCCAAGCTGCGCTGACACCTGAACATTACACTGATGCTGAGTGTCATTTATGAGCACCTTGTTCCAAACCATGGCTGTTCAGCTGCCACTGTAACGGCCTCCGCTCCTGGATGCAGGGATTTGCAGCACAAGGCCACTGATAACGTCTGGCTTATCAGCAGCCGAGTTCAGGTGTTCAGGGCATGGTGCTGTCGTGTTAAAGCAGGAAAAAGACAAAACACAAACTGCTGGGACAAAGTTGGAAGCACACTTTTATCTAAAATATCACAGTGTGACAGCATGAAGCTTTTCCTTCATTAGAACTACAGGGCCAAGAGACGGAACTGTGAGTGTGCAGTCCGTGATTTGGTGTGTCCACATACTTTTGGCAGTATAGTGGAAATTTGAACTGCATAAAGCAGTTTGACGGTGATAACAGTTTAGCACTATTCAAGAACCTATGCAGGCGTCATGCACTGTATCAAGTAAAAATGTAGTTTGTCCATAAAGCTTGTTCATGAATCATCAGCTCTGAAGTGTGATGTCATGTTCATAGGGTAGGAAATCAATAACCCTGGGTTGATCAGAATGATCACAGACTGTAAACGGTGTATGAGAACTACAGCTTGTTGTCTGGCAGTCTGGTAACGGTCTAAAACTGGTGAAGAAACACACTAGAATAACAACCGGAGGTCGTGGGGTGACAGGAAACGTTGATGATGATGAAGATGATGATGTAACTATTCATGTACTAGAAAGGCAATGCGACCAAGCCTCATGGAAGACTGGGGCGACACTTTTTCTCTATTTGCAGTGACTTTGTGTCTCTTTGTAATGGTTTTTCAAGCCTTTATAATATTTTTGTGTTTGCATGTTTCTGTGGTTATTCTACATTTATTTATAGACATTCTATGTGTCTGTAGCATTTTTGTGCCTCTTTGTGGTTGTTTTGTGTCTCTTTTAAGACTTTTGACTGGCTTTCCAACAAGAAATGTTAATGGCCAGTTGAAACAGAGACCCTTGGGCCGACGGGCCGTGCTCCACAGACCGGTTCAGGAATCCATCTGTACCAAGCTTTAACAATTTTTACAAAAATATCCAGCATCGTCCTGATGGAAGTTTCTTTCTCACACAGCTCTCTAAGTAAAACTTCTCTCTGAGCATATTTATTGAAGGAGGTTTTCGATCTGTTATTTTTTCAGTAAATCTTTTGTGGGATGGTTCTTGTCACAAAGGAAGTGTGACGGTTGTTTGTTGACTTGGTTTAAGTGAAGAGTCTTTGCATTCAGTGGTGTTCTGGATCTGGTTCATAAGGAGTGTGAAAAAACAAAACAAAACACTGAGCAGTTTAAGACACTGGCGATAATTCAGCCTTAAGACAGTTCTGTCTCCTTTTATTGGTCAAACATAGGTAAAAGGAAATGACATTTGCTGCTGTGCACTTGAGAAAAACACCAGTTGTGTCTTGCAACAGCTGGTAATCTCCCTTAAAAAGCCTTAAAGACGGTTCCCAGGCAGAATAATGACAAACTCCTGCGTCTTTCCTGCTGTGTTATCAACATAATTGCAGTAGCAGTAACATTCCTACAACAGCCTCCAGTCCTGTAAATGCACATCCTTCCTCCCTGTGTTACTTTTCCCCAGCTTTGAAGGGGGATAATTGTTGGACTGAGGATGCAAAGGCAGAAGCGACTCAGTCGGTGTTTTTCGGTGGGAAGGGGGGGAGGAGAAAGGAAAGGAGGGGGATTGTGGGGAAAAGACGAGGAGATGGGTGGGACGTCCCAGCATGTTTGAACACAGCTGGGAAAAGGCCCTGGAGTTTAAAGTGAAGAGCCCCCCCCCAGCACCCGGAGTGGTGGGCAGATTGGAGCAAATGGAACAAGCAGATGAAAGTGCGGGTCTCAGCGGAGGCCCCAGGCCTCGGATTGTGGCTCGGGTCTGTGGTGCAGTGGTCATAGGAGCAGAACAGGCGTCTCACATGTGATCAGCTTCGTCCCTCTGCTCTTTGCACACTTTCATTTCTTCGGTTGGTTACATTTGGTGCTCAGCTTGATTTATGCCAGTAATAACTTCCCAGTCCAACCATTAAAGATCATCCTGATCATCCTCCACAGCTGAATTAAATAAGACATAAAGGCAAAATTAAACATGAGGGATGACAGCCACCCAAGGCCACAGGCTATATACAGATCAGGTCAGTGTTGTTCCAGACTTTTTTAAGGTTTTTCAGCAATTTTAACATTTTGAGTCTTGAAAATAAACAAATAGTCATCTCCACATGCCTCTTACATATTTTATTCAACTGTACACCCTCTGCACTCACACTGGGTGGTCTCTGAAATTGGAGTAGGAGATTAGCTCAGTTCCTGAGCTAGACTTCATTTGCATGTCTGCAGACCAGCACCTTTCTAGTGACCTTTTTAGATGTTTGTATGTGCAGAACAGTTTTCAGACGGGGAGCTATGGAAGTACATCCCTGCCAAAATGTGAGAGGGTGCACAGCCCTAGTTTCGAGCGCTACTCAGTTTGCAGCTCAGCATCTGAGAGCGTGATCCTGGCCGTTTGTGCACTCGCTTCTCTGCGCTCTCATGTCTCTCCACTGGGTTATGTGTGAAAGTCTGTCAGCACCCAAAGTTTTAAAAGTGCACAAAACAACTTTTGAGCGCACAGATTTGTGAGAGCAGTCGGGTTTGGGGGTGAGGGAGGACAGAATCGACAGTGTAACCGAGGACTGCTGCTTCCTTCAGAACTGCACTTGAGATGTAAATTGAACCCTAAAGAGTTTAACTGAAGATATTTGATTTTTTTGTGAGTTTATTAATTAGTGGGTTGAATTTTGAGGACTGAACTTTAAAACCCATACAGACATGAGCGAGTCTTCACATCTTCTCACAGATAAGCGTGTAGTTTGTGTTGAATCTCATCGGTTCAGTTTCTCCTGAGGCCGGGGGAGGTGATGTTTGGCTGGTGCTCCACATCCTGTACCCTGGTGAATCGGATCAGACCCGCAGCAGGTTGTGGAGCGTCTGCGTGCAAACCGAGGTCGCTCTGTTTGACGCCAACCTAAACATCCCGGTGTTCTCGGGCTGATGGCAGCCTGGACTTGTGCACTAAACATGGCTGCCAGTGGTGGAGGAGGCTCTGACATCCTTTACTTAAAAAGAAGCTGTTACGAGGAACTGGAATGTTATTTTATTTGGGTGGACTTTGCAGTTTTAAATGTTATTTAAATGCTGGTGGTGCATGAAGCCTGTTGTGATGAAAGTGCTTCATCCAAATAAGCCGGTCTCAGCTGCTACTCAGTGGAAAAAACAAATCATCTTCTCCATCAGGCGAATCTAATTCAGGGTCTGAATCATGTTCTTACACTGCTATGTTTAGATGAGAGGCTCAGGAAGGTTTCTGTAGTTACAGTGTCTTCACAGAACCGAGTGGAAAAGAAAGAACTTTTGATGAAAAAACCTTTGATGTGTTTCATCTAGTTACAGAAATTGTTTGCAAAGATAGGAAATTACCCCTCCAGCCCCAGTTAGTAAAGGAAAATACACAATAAATGCAAAAGAGCAGCATTTTAAAATGTACTTGTATTTAGCAGTAAAAGTAAACAAGAAACACAGCTGATGGCAGACTCTGGGAGAAATACAGGTAGTCACTAACAGTACAAATCCAAATTTCTCTCGGAAATGCAATGACAAAAGTAGAAAACCTCAGCAGTGGTAAATTATACTGAAGCACCCGAGTAACTTCTGGAGTAACACGCTGGCCTTACACCATAGCACTGAGGGTAAGTGACTTAAATAACTCCCGACTTGTTGCAGTGAAGTGTGCCACGACATGCTGCTGAAATGCAACACATAGCTCCCAGTGAAGAACAGCAGGGCTCTGCAACATGCAGCACCATGTCCAAATATATCTCCCGCCCCTCGAGGCTCGAATTCCTGGCATTACAAGTGTCCATTCCCTTAGGAGTCAAAATGTAGGGCACCTCGAGAACAGCGCTGTCAGGACGAAGGTCTGGGCTGTAACGTCATCGTTTACAGAGACAAAGAGGTTTAACAAAGTCTTAATCTGAGCAGAGCTGTGGCAGTGAGCATGTTTACATGGTAGTATCCACGGTTCGATCATAGGGATCAGACCAGCGTCCAGCTTTCTGTGTACCTGTGCAGGGCCGGCCCGTGGCATAGGCAGTATAGGCAAATGCTAAGGGCGCCGTACATCAGGGGGCGCCAGAAATGGAGGAAGAAAAAAAGTGTAACTTCCACTATTCTTAAAACTAGACTTCAGAAAAGAATAAGCCCACCACATTAATTTAACTGCATAGCAGCAAAGCCTACTAAGTAATAATAATAATAATAAT